CATCCATGCCAGTTTAATTGTTTTATGGCCTGTATCTTTTTCTTTTCTACATCGATTCTGTCTGATGTTAGCTCTATTTTCACTCTATCCCTTTGAAGCTGAACATACATCAAGAATTTTGAAATATAATCATAATAGTTACTGAAGCCTGTTGATCCTCTTCTCCCCACCTACTTGAATTCCTACTCTGTCTTCTGCCCATGTGCCTATACCAGAATCCAGAAAGTTACCATAACTCCTTCCAGTCTGCCATACAGCACATTCAACTGGTCACTAAGTTTTGCTCTTTCTGCCTTCTAAATGTCTTTCATATGAATTCTTTCCTTTCCAAACCTCTCAAAATAAATCTGCTTGTGGCATTGGGAGGGTGGATTGGTTGACTAGAATTAGAAGTTTTTCCTGACACAGACGAGGCTCCAAAAAGGTAACTTGGGTTTTTAATGAACTTCTAGAAGACTTCTATAAAAAAGGATATATAGAGAATTTCAGGTCAATCATGAGACAACAGGATCAATAATTTCTAAAGACATAGAGGCAAGTTGGAAAGGCATAGTCCACAGCTTCTTGAAGCTGTACAGACAGAAGAAAATAAACTACTATAGGCAGTGAAAAGAGCCTTTTTGTGGAGAGGTTTTGCAATGAAAAGTCCATGCATCATAGTAGCCAGCTGGAAATGATGGTAATGGTTGTGTAGAATACAGTAGCTGTCTCAGAAGAAAGAGCAGAACCCTTGATACTAAAACGCTTGTTTCTGTCTGTGACATAAAATTTTGCCAACTTGATCTGCACACAGTCTCAGCACTGAACTTGGTGCCTAAGACAAAGGAAGATTATGCATGGTATAACATCTCTTCACATCTCCTAAGCCCATGGCTGCATGGGAGGCTGGTGGCTGAAACAGCAGATTGTGAACTTTTCCAGCAGCATCTACTCCCCTGACAGATGTTGGGGGAAAACCAAGAGTAGGAAAAACAGTAGAAGACATCCAAGAAATAATCCTTCTCCCTTAAATTCTCTATTGTCCTTGTTCAGACAGAAGGAAGTAGGTGAAGATCTTTCAGCATCAGAGCAGCTATAGTGCCAACTTCTTAACATGATTCCTATGCTGGTGGTATGGAGATATTAACTTTACAGGGCCATTTCTGTAGTTTTATTGTTTCTACTATAATACAAACTCCTTGAAGATAGGCTGTATGTCTTAATAATAATTACATACTCTCTATAATGTACTTAATGAAATCTCAGTGTTTGTGATTTAGAGAGAATAGTCAACAGAGCATTCTGTCATCTGTGAGAATACTAATGCATGGAAATTAATTTAGTAATTAGCTTTCCTATGTAATTTATACGTTTTATATTTTCTTCTCTTTTCAAAGTTACTCTCAAGATAATAAAATCTGACATCCACAATATTTTAACACCAGTAGTAGTTTATAGCATTTATAATATATTTAGTCAAATTTATCTCATTCTCTCTGTATCCCCATTCATATATATAGTACATCTTTATGTAATAGAAGTACAGAATTAGAAGTCAATAAGAGTCTATTATCCTATCCAACACTTTTAGACAGGCTAGAACTTATAAAAATAGAAGCAGTATCTAAAGGTTATTACATTTAAGCAACGTTGTGGAAGCTTCGCTTCTGTTGCAGCTGAATATATATATATATATATGTTTACTGGGTCCATATTAACTAGGAGGTGTTGGCAAAAGATATTTTGTTATACTTCTGAAGACAAAAAGCATTTGAATGGCAACATTTGGAAATTTTACTATATGAATTAATGAAGAATGTAGGCCGTTTACTCCACATGTCCATTTGTACTTACGTCAGCCTCAAATAACTTTCTAGCTCTTTATGTGTTTTCTTTTTCTTTATCATATTGATCAATTCTTGACATTATTTTATATACTCACTTTTTATTGTCTATTTCTTCCGTTAGAATAAGCTCTGTGAAGGTAGTGCCTTTGCTTTGCTCAAAATTTCCACCATCTGGAATAGCACACATATCTGATACTCAAACAAAATTTGAGTAGATGAATGAATACAGGACATGTAATCACTTTTTTTAAAGACAATAATAGGTATTTTAAAATAAAATGTCTCTCATATGAGAAAAATTACATTAAACACTTTATGCACATTTTCTTCAATACCAATAAAAACCATGAAAATTAAACAGTATTACATTCGATTTAAAGAAAAGGCAACAAGTATCAGAGAAGGTGAGTTGCTTGTAAAAATCAAAAGTTGGTTAGCAGAGGGCTAGTTCTGGTATTACAGCATAAGGATCTCCATGGACCCACTCCCCAGTCAAACTGGCAAACATCATTTTTATAAAATAAACATTAAGTTTCTGGGAATGGATGGTTCTAAGAGCATAGAACAAATGAAACATTTATTAAAGAATATGCACTAAAATTCAATATGGCATTTGAATTGAGCCCTGCTCTTTTCATCCTCTCTCCCTGGTCTGGAAGAAGGAAACTCCACTATAGGCTGAAGCAGCCAAGAATAGAGAGCCCTTTCCTCCACTATAGGCTGAAGCAGCCAAGAATAGAGAGCCCTTTCCATGCAGCTCCCAGCTGATGTTCTAGGGAGAGGAAGGCCCTCATTCCTCTCCCCCCACCCCACCCCACCCCCAAGTTTTTGATGCTGAGAATGTTTTAGGCAAATACCACCAAGAGATGGCAGTCTTCTGGGCTCCATTCTTTTGCAAAGCCCCACTGGAGAGATAAAGGCACTGCTTTGGGTGTGGCATAGTGAAAACTACCAGAAAACTGACTGTCCTTGCCCTGACTCATATTATTTTAAAAATTAATTACATTATTAACAAAGCAATTACTATCAACTTTCTTAACTGTTGTTTATGGCATTCACTGAAAATAATACCAAGACCAGTTAAATTTAACAAAGTTAATTGGAACAACAACAAAAGAAACTAGAAGCAGACTGCTTTCGACTGAAGATGGTTCAAAATGCTCCCAACTACAACATGAGGAGTTGTATTTATACCAAGAAAAACAAAAAATGACGTACAAAGATTACCTGATTGGTACCATTTGGCCTTTGCCTTATTTGGGCATAATTTGGTGGCCTTCTGTCTGAGATCAGCTGAAACTCAGCTACCTAGTTTTATAAGGGTATACTACTAGTTGTTTTAACTTGTTTACCCATCAAGCTAAGGTACAGCTCATTGTGTATGGAGGCCACATTGAGCCAAACTGACTTTAACATATTTATATCTGTATTTCTAATTAATAGGATTATACTCTTATTTCATGATTCATCAATATTACAGATGACCCCTTTACTTCTGGCCATGATGGATGATGCTTTAACTTGTTAATACTCCCCTCAACCACATAATCTCTCCATCCTCCTCCTACATAGTTATAACTTTTTCTTTTTCTTTTGACTAAACCACTAGTCACTGATTACATTATATAATTATGACTATGAAGGTGTTGTTTACTGATAAAACAACTAAGTTACTAAATGTATTTTTTCATCCCTGTATTTCCATTTTTTCCTGAAATTGATGAAAGCCAAATTGATCTATTCACCTTTTTAAAAAATTCTATTTTTTTTCCAACTGTGGAACACTTTTTACTGAATTTATTGTTACCATTTATGTACTTAAGTACATTATTTCTATTTTTTCCTCCCTTGATTCTTGAAATCCAATTAAACTCATTTATTTCTGCACCTGCTATGCATTTGTCCATTTGTGATGCTTCTTTCTCATTGTCTTGGAAATTAGTTTTTCCAGCATCCTTTAATGAGTTGCCTTTTTTCTGGATCCCAAGTCTATCACTTTCTTAATTTAATGCTTCATTTGGCTACAGTACGTCCTCTGGAAACGTCCTAAAAATGCATGCATAGCAGACACATTTTTTAGTCCTTGTGTCTATGTCTTTATTTTGCCACAACAGTTGAGAAAGAATTGACCTGGAATTCTAGCATATAAATAATTTTTCCTCAGAAGTTTGGTGGCATTTATATGCTATCTTTTAGATTCTGAGGTTGAATATGTATTGCCGCTGTGTAAGGTTTCTTAAAATGTCTTATTGAGACTTTTTTTTCTTTCTTAGTATTTAACACTGTCTCTAATATATCGTATTTTATTTTTCAAAATTATATAGTGTAAAAAAAAGCAATGGTTTTAAAATTAATCCCCAAATAGATGACTGCAATCCCTTCTAGTTTATCCCAGAGTATCTTACAATATTATCTTTTAATTTTTTTGAAAGAGTCTTGCTCTGTCTCCCAGGGTGGAGTGCAGTGGTGTGATCTCAGCTCACTGCCACCTCCTGGGTTCAAGCGATTCTCCTGCCTCAGCCTCCCAATTATCTGGGGATTACAGGTGTCCGCCCCCACACCCTGCAAATTTTTGTGTTTTTGTGGAGAAGTTTTTTGTTAATACTTTAAGTTTTGTGATACATGTGCAGAACATGCAGGTTTGTTACATAGGTATACATGTGTCGTGGTGGTTTGCTGCACCCATCAACCTGTCATCTACATTAGGTATTTCTCCTAATGCTATCCCTCCCTTAGTCCCTCACTCATGGACAGGCCACAGTGTTAGATGTTCCCCTCCCTGTGCCCATATGTTCTCATTGTTCAACTGCCACTTATGAGTGAGAACATGTGGTGTTTGGTTTTCTGTTTCTGTGTTAGTTTGCTGAGAATGATGGTTTCCAGCTTCATTCATGTCCCTACAAAGGACATGAACTCATTCTGAAGACTTAAGTCTTTACTTTCAATATTTATTCTTGTATAAGTCTTGTTAGTATTTTTCCATCCTTTTTTTCTGTTACTAAAAATGTCATATTTCATATGTTGGCTTTCTTGGATAGGTTCTGAAACACTCATTTTAAATCTTTCACTATATACTCAACTTTCTAGGCAATTTCTCTGATTTTCTTTTGAAACTTCTATTGATATTTTTCTCATGTATCTAATTAATTTATTATTTTGTCCTTTTTGAGACAGGGTCTCACTCTGTCATCTAGACTGCAATGCAGTGGCACAATCTGGGCTGACTGCAACCTGCGCCTTCCAGACTCAAGCAATTCTCTTGCCTCAGCTTCCCGAGTAGCTGGGATCACAGGTGCGTATGACTATCACCTGGATAATTTTTGTATTTTTAGTAGAAACGGGGTTTCACCATGTTGGCCAGGCTGGTCTCTAACTCCTCATCTCAATTGATCCACCCACCTCAGCCTCCGAAAGTACTAAGATTACAAGCATAAGCTAGGGCACCTGGCCTCTCAGGTCTTTTAAATTCCCAGAATCATGGTTTTGCTCGCTGATTATTTTTTCTTAGAATTCTTCTCTAGTTTCATAAATGAACTTTATATTTCTATGATGATATCTAGAGCTGTACTCTAGCTGTACTTTATGTTTTTTTCTTCTTAATATCTGTTTTTGTTTCTGTCTTTCATATAGGAGGCTTCCTTCAACTACATGTTAATTTTTTCTGTCTAACCATATTCAAGAATGAAGTAGTAAAATGTGGCTACTCTGAATACATATGTACTTTCTTGTCTCTTGTGTTTTTATTCAAAATGTGGCTCACAGACCAGAAGAAATGCAGAAGTATTAGAAATGCTAAATATCAGGCCACACCCCAGACCTAATCAACTAAAGTATGCTTTCTAGTAAGAACTCAGGTTCTTGCTATGTGCACATTCAACTTGGAGATGCACTGATTTACTTCATTTCACTATAGTAATCATCAAAGTCAGGCTTTTCATCATCCCTATCTCATTTATCAATATTAGGAGATATTTCTTCTCTGGAAATCTTTAGTTTCTGTCATTTTCTTGATTTAATAATCTTTTCATTTTGAGGGGGTTGTGTTGTCAAGCAGTGCATGCTGGCTTCCAGGTTCTAGGAATTAAGATAGTAATGGACTTCAAAGACCTACAGAACTGTTTTTCACCAATCCCTCTGTTTTTAGTTCCATACAATCCCTGCATTTTGTCATTTGGATAGCTCTAAGGTTTTAGTTTTTCTGGAGCTATTTAGGGCAAATTGCCTTACTTGTCCTTGCATGCCTCCCTGAAAGTCTTTGGATTTAACTTTCTCCATTTTGTTAAGTCAATTATGATTCTCCCTTCTATTATGTTGTCTGTGCTCCAGTTCTTTTTCTTCAATGTAATAATGCCATTGCAAAAACTCATTTACTGTCACTGAATTGAGTATTTGCAAAGAGAACACATAAACACCAATGGCCAATGAGGGACATAATTTTGAAGCAGTTGGAGGAGTGAGTGTTGGAGTAAGAAGGCTCTGAATAAGAAGAGAGAAGGCTGCCCAAAGGTTTCAGGGAGATGGGTTGGCTGGAATATGAGAGTAAAGGAAAGACACTGAAAAAGGATCTACTAAAAATAAATCACCAAAGGACACTTGCTTTGGTCCTAATGTCAGGTGTCAATCCTTGCATCAGTAGAAGCCTTGTTAACTTAAGAGAGAGGAGAATTTGGGTTAATGCAGGTCACATTGCCCCATTGCCTCTAATTGCTCAACGAAGAAGACCTCTTTGGTGTCACTGTTTATTCTAAATGCTCCTTGGCCCTTGTATATTCTAAGAAGGTGGATGAATCTTTCTTTAATTAAAGAACCCTGAGACAGCCACATTAGACTCCTAGTTATTCCAGAGGAACTGGTGGTGTCAGAAGCTTCCAAGCAGGAAAAATATTTTAGCATCTTTAGATGAGCAGCATGGCAAATGTGGTAAATGGGATTTAGAATGCAATTCTGTAAACGTGTTCCATGCAATATTACCCTAGTAGATCCTCCTTGAAAAAAGAGTTCTGGATCAATTCCATTAAAGGCCGTTAGCACTGACAAAAATCAAGTTTACACCCACTGTGCCTACCAAAATAAGCACATTAGACTGTGGAACAAATATAACAAATCCAACAAAATTTTTGTTTTTTCTGGTGTTAACTTCCTTGATGCCTTAAGCAAATCTTAGATAACAACATAATTTTTCCAATTTTGCTTGTCCCAAATATGTATTTTATCTAAAAGTTAATGGTTATTCTGCTATGTGTTCTACAATTCAATAATTTGGGAGAAGTTGTAAGTTTACTCTAAAAAAATCCATAATGCGTGTGTGTACATTAGAGTTGACAATTCATTGGAGAGAAAAACGCGCAAGCTTAGCATAGCATTTCCAAATCCTATGTGATCCTAGAACCTATTTTTTGACAAAATTCCTATTAGCATATCATTGATCTAATGGTCTGCAGAAGATACTTGGAGACCATGGCTTAATGGATTAAAGTTGCACAAGACAGATATCTGGCTCATGCAAGCCACCCTGTGTCCAAGATTAGGCGCAAATAGACATGATGGCACCAAAGACTAATCTTTCAGGACATTTGTTCTTTTAATATGGAACATGAATCTCAACCATCTAAATATAATTCTTGCTTTTACCAGACAAAATATTTTCTGTACCTCACTGTAGTGTAACATTACTGATGCTATTTTAATTACCACTTGATATCATTGCAGAGGCAGCTGGTTATGTTTTGACTGTGATAGAATTGACAAAAGTTGTATTTGTGCAATATAATTGTAATTCTCTGAAGTTTTCATTTATGTTTTAAAAGTGCCATGTACTTCTGTAAGTGATAGATCACTCAAGACATTTAAGAGTCTAACAATCTGGCTTTAATTAGATAAAATGTAGATTTAAATTGAAAGGTAAACAAAAATGAGAATGTTTTATTTATACTAATATTATATATAGTATTATAAGGTTATTGCAGATTATAATTTTAAATTAAGCTCATCTAGGTTAAATGTACTAATGTGCATCACTATTGGATGCGCTAAAAATGTAGCCCTGATATACTCAATAAATATAACCATTAAATAAAGCAAAAACAGCTTGAGGGTTGAATTCAACTGCATTATGTAGTAATTGGAGGTGACAGCACTGAACAACTCTGCTAGACATATATTTTGAGCTATATTTTCTAGTATAATTAATGGATTTATTTTGATTCATCACATTTGTTCTATTTCTCCTTGTGACCAACTGAATGAATAAAAGAAATCTGATTGGGATTCAGGGCGTGTTCTACAATCATTAAAAACATTCAGCTAACTTGTTTGAGTGAGTATTATATTACTAATTAGCAATTTATTACCAAACAAATTAATGAGCTACAACATATGGTTTCATAGTGCATATAGTATAGAAGTTCTTAGTGTTTCTTGCTCCTTTTTTTAACATGGAAGCTAAATGGACACTAGGAAATCTAAAAGCACTGTGCTTCCTATAGTCAACAGAAGACTGTATTCATGACTATAATGAAAAGGCTAATTTGAATAATGGACTACTGTTGTTATAAAATAATTCTAAGGCTATTTTTAGATCGATTTTAGGTTCACAGCAAAGTTGAGCAGAAGATACAAAGATTTTCCATTTCCCTTCTGCCCCATGCATGCATAACCTTCCCCATTATTGCCATTCCCCATTACGGTACATGCCTCATTCCCCATACATATGTTACAATTGCATTGACATATCATTATCACCTAAGAATCTAAAGTTTATTTTAGCATTCACATTTGATTGTTGCACAATCTGTGAGATTAAACAAATGTTGCATGACATGTACCACTATAGAATATTATACAAAGAAGTTTCTCTGGCTTACAAGTTCTCTGTGCTCTACCTATTCATCCCTATCTCTTTAATGCCTAGAAACCACTGATTTTTTTTTTCTAGATGAGTTTCGCTCTTGTTGCTCAGGCTGGAGTGCAATGGTGCATTCTTGGCTCACCGCAACGTCTGCCTCCTGGGTTAAAACGATTCTCCTGTCTCAGCCTCCCAAGTAGCTGGTGTTACAGGCATGTGCCACCACACCCAGCCAATTTTTTGTATATTTAGTAGAGACAGGGTTTCACCATGTTGGCCAGGATGGTCTTGATCTCTTGACCTCATGGTCCACCCACCTCAACCTCCCAAAGTGCTGGGATTACAGGCATGAGCCACCGTACCTGGCCGAAACCACTGATTTTTAAAAAATATTTATTTTAATTGACTGATATTTTCACTATGTCCATAGTTTTGCTTTTTCCAGCATGTCATATAGTTGGAATTATACACTATGTACTTTTTTCAGATTGGTTTCTTTCATTTAGTGATGATCATTTAAGTTTCCTCCATGTTTTTTCATGGTTTGATAGTTCTTTTTTTTTAGTGATGAACGGTATTACAGTATCTGGATGTATCATAGTTTATTTATCCAGTCACATACTGAATGATATCTTGGATACTCCCAAGTTTTGGCAACTATGCATAAAGCCTCTATAAACATCTATGTACAAGTTTCTGTGTACTTATGTGTACACATTTATAAATATATTAGTACAAATTTTTTGTGTTGTTTTAATTCTTTTGGGCAAATACCAAGAATGTGATTGCTGGATCATATCATAAAAGTATGTTTAGTTTTGCAAGAAACTGCTAAAATGTCTTAAAAAGTGACTATATTATTTTTATTCCCAGCAGGATTGAATGAGAATTTCTCTTGCTCCATATCCTTACCAGCATATGATGCTGTCAGTATTCTGGATTCTGACTGTTCTAATAGGTGTATAGTGGGACTTCATTATTGTTTTACTTTGCATTTCCTTGATGACATATGATGTGGAGCATCTTTTTCTATGTCATCTGCATATCTTCTTTGGTGAGGTGTCTGCTAAGGACTTTGGTCCATTTGTCAATCATTAGTTAAGTTCTTTGTATGCCCACATTGAAAACTACCCAAACGATATCATTATTGTATAATTTACTTTTTGACTAGTGGAGTAAGAGAGACCATTCATGAATTTTTCTTTATTTTCCAAATGCCATATCTTAAAACCCTGCTTAAGAAATTTCTTCCTCTTAACCACAGACCAGTCAGTACTAAGCCCTAAGAGGCTGTTAGAACTATGAGAGTTTATTGGAATGACCTAAAAATAGAAAAAGTATCCTGTTTCAATAGCATATTTTTAATTCAGTCCTAGCATAAATAAAAAGAATGCTCATACTGGAACAGATTTAAAGTAAATCTGGATTTTTCTATTAAAAAATATAAA